AGGAAATGAGTTTATTTCTAGAAATGGGATATGATATACCAGGAACAACATTAAGCATAGCCAGTGATGTAAAACTTGCTACTTACCAGACTTGCCTTCCGTCCTGGTAGAAATTTTTGCCTCTTTCCGATAGGCATCAAAAATACGGCACTCAGAAAAATTTATCCCATGTTGTGCGCGGAGGTGTTTCAGCATATTTGAAGTATTTCCTCCCGCGATTGAAATTCTAGCTCCATCCTTTTGGTTTGTAAAATGAAGCCAAACTTTGGATCTTTTTACTTGGTGTGGCGCCATTTTTTTGCTTTCCTTTTTTGCCTAGTCACGTCGTACTTGCTTACTGAACGCCGTGTGCGTAACTTGCGTAAAAAAACGTGACGTAAGTCGTGCTCCCAAGAGCTGGCGCATTTGGCTCTGGTGCTGCGGGAATCGAAAAAAGAATCGTTCAGCGAGCTGCCAAACGATGCCATTGAATCGGAAAATACGGAACCGGTATCTTTTTACGACTACTTCTCTGTCTGTAGGCTCTAGCACTAATTGCAATTTCCTTAACAAATCTCTGCCTAATAGATTAACTGGACAGTCTGGGTTTAACACAAAATCAGCTTCCACCTTGAATCCCTCTTTATCAGTGACAAATTGTTTTTCAGAAATGCACTGAGCTTCCATTCTTCCATCAGCAGAGACTACTGTAATCCATTTTAGTCCTGGTTTAATCAGAGGTAATGTATCCCTCAAAATAGATATATCGGCCCCGATGTCACACAGGAATTTTACTTTTACCCCTTGAATGTTTAAATGCCAGTATGGTTTTTCTGAGGTGTTTGATAAAGAAAAGAAAATCTGCTGTAGATCCAGGATCTCCACTGGGTCCACAATTAACTGCATTTTTTGCTGGTGCACATGACTCCTGGCGTCAGTGCTGGTCATAACATTGGTGACGGGGAGGGTCACTCTGCGGGGGTCTGGACATTCTCGAGCAAAGTGGCCCTCCTTATCACAGTTGTAGCACCTATTGTGTTTTCTACGTGACCCCTTGTTTTTCCCCTGNATATATTTTAAGTTAATTATGCGTTAATAAACTGTTTAAGAGGAGTAATCAGAGCGGTCTGTGTCATCAGCGCTGTGTCTGTCTCCCAGCCAGCTCCCAGATCAGCTTCTCTGATTGGTTGACGCGGCGCGTCGAGCAGCAAAAGTTCAATTTTTCCATCTCCAGCAGCAGCGCGTTTGCGGCCCGTCATGCGCATCAGATGCTTAATAGCTCTCGACGCGCTGCTTCAGCTGCTCATTGAAACCGACTATTGGCTTGACCATTGGCTGAGAGCTTACAAGAAATGGTACTAACAGTTCACTGTCTCTGTTCTCTGTAAGGCTAAACTCAACTCCTACCCAACCCTCATAAGGTATCTCAGTCCCATTTGCTGCAGAAAGATCTAACATACCTTCCTCAAGAAGTTCACTCACTGATCGAAAGTGGGCGTCTGCTAGATGTTCTCTTTTCCAATTTAGATCCACAATTGAAACTTGTGATCCGGTGTCCCAAAGAGCTGTGACTGGAACTCCTCCAATGTTGCACTGGACAAGGTTTCTGCGTCCTATTAGTTTTGCTGTCTTCTCCTGTTTTTTTGACAAAGACATGTCCTTTTGTGGAACAACACTGTCAATAACATTTGCAATATGTACTTCAATTTTATTGACATTAACTGTTGAGTCTTTCTTTTTCCGACAACCAACAGCCCAATGTTCACTGCTTCCACATTTAAAACAGTGTGTACATTTTCCTTCTGGGTTTGACTGTTCACATTGACGACATTTTCTGGGGCTCTTTCTGGTAGCACTTGAATAATATGGTTTACTTCTTATGTTTTTGTCTTCAGTTTTCATCTTTGCCTGAGTCAAATTTGTTGGGATCTGGAGGTCTGTCCACTTTCTCCACCAGGGGGCGTACGAGATTTCCTGGAGCCGGAGCTGATTGCACCACCTGTCGCTCATCTGCTCATCAGGAGATCCGTATTTAAGGAGGCAGAGGACTTCTCTCCAGTGCCAGAATGTTTGCCAGTTAGGGTTAGCAAGCCTGAGCCAACCAGCCTGTCTGAACCTCTGACTCCCTGAAAACCTGAACCTGATCTGTTTTCTCCTCTCTGCTTCCTAGATTGAACCTGCCTGAAACCTGAAACCCCTGAAGAGTTTCTCTGCCAGTGTCCGTTCTCAGAAGAACTCTGGAGAATTATTCCTGTCAAAGATCTGCCTGCCCGCTCTCAGAAGACACTGGAAAGAAACTCTAATCTGTGATCTATCAGCACTCTAATTAAGCTCTGCCTCCGCCTAGCCCTCAGCCTGCCGACAGCCTCTGGACCCTCAAGGTTCCCCCTCTCTGCCGCTCTGCTCAACTCCAGAAAAGATACAGCCCTGCACACTCTCATCCTGCTAAATACCTGGACCTCCACTAACTCCTCTGTCCCCCTCTGCAGTGAACCCACTTGCGACCAGTCCTGGATCTGATTGTTCTGTGTGCTTTTCAGAACCCACTCGTGACCAAACGAGTTCCCCTCAGGACCTGTTCATTTATTGTGTTCAAACTTATCAATAAATCTTTGAACTTTTCTCCTGCCTCTGAGTGTTCTGCATGTGGGTTAGACACCTTAAACGAAACATGAAAAAATTAGCAACTTGTGTTGAAAGATTTTGGATAGCCTCACAAATAACCTTGTTATTAGCTTCCAGCTTTTCCACAATTGGGTTTGGCTTTTCTGTCTGGTTTTTGCTTTTCTTTGAGCTTCCAGTATTTTCATTTTTGCAGTTATCCTCTCCTTGAACTGAGGCCACTTTGATGCTCTTTTGTCTGGTTGAAAGTTTATTCCTTCTTTCGAGTTCAACACTGTAGGCAGCGCTCATTTTCTCAAGCAGCACTTCATTACTAACAGTAGCGTCCTGCAAGTACGGTTTAATGTCCACTTTTACAGCATCATCTTGTAATCCAGTCAGAATAGTTTGCAAAAACTGTGTCTGCACGAGCTCAGGATTGTATTTAAGTCCAGCTTTGGCTCTATTAGAAGCAGTCAACACTTTTTGTCTAAGGTCCATGGTGCGTATAAGAAACTGAACAGGAGTTTCTCTGGGATCTTGTACTGCATGTGTCAAAGCATGATAGAGTTCTGTTGCAACTTTCTCTATTAAGTGTGTCCTAAGCACTTGCCTAAGAAAGCTCAAGGATAACTCTGACCTACTCTCTAGATAACTTTTTAATTTCACATCTCATAGCAGCTTTCTTACTGATGTCTTCTATCAAATCATTAGTGGTCAATAACACGGAGAATCCGTTGTCCTCTAAAGACGTGATATCCTCACTTTCCAAGTGAATAAGTATTTTTCTTCTTATTAACCGACATGATTTCACCTCTTCACTCAGCTGCAAGCCTAGTGCTTCACGTAGGGCATTTAGCTCATCCAGTGACAGAGTAACCAGCTTTGTCTCAATATCGGCAAAAAGAGATTCCCACTCACTGTCCATGAGGCCTTGCTTTTTCTTTTAAGGATTCATGGCTGGGAAACACTCGCCCAACCAGTCTACATGTGCTTTGTGGACTTGGAGAAGGCGTTCGACCGTGTCCCTCGGGGAGCCCTGTGGGGGGTTCTCCAGGAGTACGGGGTGCCGGGCCCTTTGATACGGGCTGTCAGGTCCCTGTATGACCGGTGTCAGAGTCTGGTCCGTATTGCTGGTAGTAAGTCGGGCTCGTTTCTGGTGAGAGTTGGACTTCGCCAGGGCTGCCCTTTGTCACCGATTCTGTTCATTACCTTCATGGACAGAATTTCTAGGCGCAGCNAGGTTCGATTGTTTCCTTAAACACTTTCACACAGTCACACACATCTATTCTAAGGCCTAATATATTTTTTATTTTAACCAACATAGACAAAAAACACCTACCGTTACGTATACAGTTTGGAGTGTCCAACTCCAGGCCCTCGCAAGCACCGGATACCCAGATGCCATATCTGCTATCCCTGCTGCGGCAGCTGCAAACTTTACTATCTCGAGAACAACACAGAGTCTCACACTCTAACGCACAGAATACCCAGATGCCGTATCCGTAAACAATACCTGTTCTCGTCAAATATTCTTGCAACTACAAGCAGTTATAGCTTTCACATGGTCTCAGACCAACTTTTGATCAAAAGCTTTAGGCCTCCCCTACCCTTCCCCACCCAAAAACAACACGAAACCACTCCACTCCCACCGATCACAACAAACACAGCCGCAAGGCAAAATAAAGGACAGAACAGCCCCGCCCAGGGAGCGGCAGAGAGCCAGAGCAGCAAAGCCACCCCAGCCACGCGCCAGAAGCTGGCACAAGCAGCAAAAAGAAAGCAGCAGACGCAACCCTGCTGCTCCAGCCGGGACCGGCGCTAAAGCAGCATGACCCACCCCGCACCGCCCACGGACTGCCGAGAGGGGGACGGCCGTGCCGGCCGCGGCCCGCCCCCCCGCCGCCAAACACCGAGCAACCCTCCACTCCCAAACCGCCCCCATGCACGATGCACCGCACCGCGCACCACCGGCACCCGTCCCAACAAAGCGAAGCCACACCCCCGACCCGGGGCATCCCAAAGGGGCCCCCCGACGCCCGCAAACCAGCCCACAACAGACACACATGACCCCCCCCGGACGACGCAACCACGCCAATCGCCATGGCCAACCACCGAACCCCGCCACCGAAAGACGAGACACGCCCCGACACCCCGCAGAACAGAAGCACACCGGCCGGCACCACAAAAGAACTGATGCCCGGCGCCCAGCCCCACCCAGCAGCAGCACAGCTACCAGGCCAGTAGCTCACGTCCGCCACCACGGAACCCCCCAAGAGCACTGCAAGCGGCCGCCGTAGGACCCCCCGAGGCGCCCCAGACCCCGCCCTGATGGGGGCAACAGACCCCAGGGCTAGACCCACCAGGAACCTTTCGTCTTTCGTCGTAAAACTCCATCTTTGTCCAAGTAAAGATGAGGCCATTCTCTCATAAGTCATTTTACTTCAGTTGGCTCTTTCACTTTGTCCCTGTATTTAAATTTCTAATTTTTCTGCTTTAATTTGATTACTCTTTGAATTACTTGATCTTCTTGTTGAGCAATTTGAATGTCTTTGATTGCTATTGGCTCAACTGGAGATGTACATGGAACAGTTAGTTGTGACAGTACATCCACATTGCATGTAACAGCTGAAATCCAGTCAGTATCACCACCTTGATCTGCTGTGAGTCCTTGCTGCAGTGCTGTTATGTCATCAGCTTCACATTCTGTGCATGCTGACATTATTTTGTCCATTTCCGCAGGTTTGCGAGATAGAAAATCAGCATCTCGGTTGACTTTACCCGGTCTGTAAAACGGGTTACTGTCAGAGTAAAACGGAAATAAGCTAATTCTGAGACCCAGCGATGTCCTACGGCATTCAGTTTAGCACTTTTCATCACATATGTCAAGGGGTTATTGTCACTGTGTACTGTAAAGTGTGGGGCATGGAAAAGGTAATCTCGAAATTGCTCAGTGACAGCCGACTTCAGAGCTAAAAACTCAAGCTTCCCTGAGTGAAGTTTGTAGTTTTTCTCAGCTGGAGTGGACCATAGCCTATTACTCTTAATTCTTCATCCTGCCTTTGATAAAGGAGAGCCCCAAGACCTTCCTCTGATGCATCCACTTGCAACACAAATGGTTTTTCAAGGTCTGGATAAGCCATTACTGGTGGATCTGATAAAGCGTCTACAAGCCTTTCAAGTGCCTCCTGCTGTAATGTTGTCCATTCCACTGACTGAGATGGTGGCAACTGTGAAGAACCTTTCTTTGAGGATTTGTTCTTTATATTTGGATATGACAACAGATCATACAGTGGTTTTGCTATCCTTGAGAAGTCAGCTATGAATAATCTGTAGTAGCCTAAAAAACCTACAAGGGATCTTACTTCCCTAACTGTTTTAGGACATTACTTTTTCAAAGATTGTACAGCTTCTACTTCTTTTGGATTCATCCGGTATCCATCTTTTTAAACGACACGGCCAACATAACACTCTTCTCTTTAAAAAAAAATCACATTTGTTTGCTCTGAGTTTGATTACACATTCTTTTTGTCTTTGTAAAACTTTTCTCACATTTTCCACATGTTGGTCAAAATCTTTGCTAAAAACTAAAACATCGTCGAGGTAGGGCACACATATCTCATCCCTGAGATCTCCAAGACAACCCTCCATATACCTCTGAAAGGCAGCTGGGGCATTTGTTAGACCGAAGGGTATCCTCAGCCATTCATAAAGTCCCCATGGTGAGATGAAGGCAGTGCATGCTCGGCTCTCTGGACTAACAAAGCCTTGGTGGTAAGCTTTTCCTTGGTCTAGCACTGTAAACCAGGAATTTCCACCCAGATTTTCCAAAATTTCCTGAACTCTTGGAATGGGGTGTCTGTCGGGGTGTGTCTTTTCATTTAATTGTCTGTAGTCCACACAAAGTCGGATGGTAGAGTCTTTTTTCCTCACAATTACGATTGGTGATGAGTAAGATGAAGTTGACTCCTGTATCCACCCCTTACTGAGTAGATCTTGAATGTGCTTTTTCACTTCCTGATACAAATGACGAGGGATTGAATTATATGTTTTTGTCACTGGAATGCTGTCTTTGAGATGTATTTTCATCTGCAGATCAGGTATGCATCCTGTATCCCACTCATTTTGTGCAAAAACCTCACTTTCCTCTCTTAGCATTTTTCTCACTATTTCTTGCTGTTCCGCTGTTAAGTGTGAAACATCCACTGGTGGATCCCATGTTTGTTTCTCAGTTTTTCCTTCATTTTCTGGTGTCATTTTCATGTCTTTGGTGTGCACATGTCCAATTTCATTTTGTGGCCTTTTTGTGATTTCTTTTACATCTTGTATGTTATCCACTGGAAATAGTGAACCAATTATTGTCCTGTTTTGTAGTCTGATATTGTTGTCTGTGTTGTTTTCGACTACAACTGAAATTGTGGCTCCCTCATTAGCTGGTATGTGCATTAGCTGCTGCTGTATTTGTAATCCTTCTGGCCATGGTGTGCTTTCATTTGGTTCCA